TAAGGCACGCTTCGTTCTTGTTCTGAAAAATAAATTCCTGGAAGAAATTATTTCTTCCTGCTGGTACATTTGTGCACTTGAGTGTCTCACAGGCTTATTTCCTGACTTAGGACTTGCATTTGGTCCTGAAATACAGCACAGGGAGCCAGAATATTTCTGCTGCAGCATTTGTCTTGGATTCTTTCCTTTTACTATTATGTATCATCCCCTTGTAGCATTTTGTTGAAATGGTCTTCATGTAAAAGTTACCTAAAATTTTCCCTTATAAAATTGCATAAATTCTGAAATGTAGAAGTTGGAAATAACTTAAAATGTTGTCAAACACTAACCAGGTCACTTTTGTGATTTACATTACCCTAATGAGACCTCAGATCCAGTTAATAAAATCTAACATCTAGTGTGCTCAGCTACTCAGGGGCTTCCAGGGTGATGAGACCGCAGTGATACTCAGGTTCTGGGAACTGTAAATTTAGAAATTTCAGACTAGGCTCCTATCTTAATATGAGCAGAACTTTACTAAAATGTTGAGCTAATGCCTTTTTACATTAATCATATCACATCAGCAAAGAAAGCTCAAGAGTAAGTTCCAGAAGGAAGATGATTGGCATTGTGACTCAGCTGTCAAGGACAGAGACACAAATGTCCACATCCTCCAGACCCTCAGAATGACGGGATTCTCTGAGACCACATATACTCAGGAATCCCATGTAAGTGACTCTGGGAACACTGCTTCACTGTTTGACCCTATTGTACTAAAGCAATAACGTTTTGCTTTCATTTGCTAAAAGGGAAAAACCCTGTATTCCAAAATCACTGTCATTTAATGAATTAGTATAGCTGACAGCCTTAAGGCATCTTTCACTTCACTATATATCTATATATCTACATATAGATATAGAGTGAAGATATAAATACAGAAGAATATCAGCTTTATCACTAATCCAATTCTCAGCTTTCATTTTAAAAGTAACTTGGTTATATTCTTAGGCTTGTGCTCAGTTATCTCCCACTCTTTGCTACTCCATGGATGGTAGCCTGCCAGGCTCCTCTGTTCCTGGAATTTTCCAAACAAGAATACTAGAGTGGGTTACCATGGCCTCCTCCAGGAGATTTTCCCAACCCAAAGACTGAACCTTCATTTCTTGCTTCTCCTGCATGGGCAGGTGGAGTTTTTACCTCATGCCACCTGGGAAGCCCAATTTGTTTATATTACCCTCTGTTTTTTCACCTTTCCCTTAAGCTCTGGTCTTTGAATCAAAGTCAGTGTGCTGTCATCAATGAGGACAACAGAAACTGATGTTTAAAGAAACTGTTATTTAAGAAATAAGCTTGACTACTTAAAAACAAACAAACAAACAAAAATCTAAGACCGCAATTGCTAAAATTGTAGGCCTCTCTCTAGATAATGATAATAGACAATACACAATTCAAGTCCTGGTGTTATTAACCAAGCAGAACTATATTCAGAATCATTTGCCACCAACACCTGTACCTTCTGAAAGCAAAACAGGGTCAAGAAAATGAAGAATACATCTGTAATCTTAACTGCCTAAGCAGGAAGCTCTATCTAGTTAGATTTAAAAATAAGTAAGCAATACTGTCAGTTAATTGCTACCTTCACACTTCTTGGTTCATGCTCTGAGAAACACCAGTTGTGGTCAGCTATTCTAACAAAAGCACCAACTGCACAGACACTAAAATAAGAATATGCAGATGCTATTGCTAAAGGCAGATTTTCTCTGTGTCAAGAGGTGGATCAGGAATGGGTATCAAAAGTAAGTCATTTTGAGAAAAATAACAAATATGATATAAAGAAGCATAGATATTCAATCAAGCACTGCCAACTATTACATTTTAATTTTTTCCAGCCATAGAACCTAGTTTCCTCCTGGGACAGAGACCAAATTCAACCACCGGCCTCCTTGGGTTACCTTTAGTTATTTGGCAAGCACTGGCAAGGGCTCTCCAGACATCCCTTTTAGAGCAAGAATATAGAGTGATAAAGAGTTCTGGGAGGCTAGGATACTTCAGCAGAGAGGCCTCTTACAGTGAGTAGATGGAGATTATCACTTACCAACCTTCACACTTTATCTCCAATTCATTTATTAACTACTCCAGTTATCTGGAGCTCCTAGGTACAGGGAGATCAGAAAACAAGATTTTTGTATCAGGCTGGACAGGATCCAACACACCTCATGCCAAGGACTGGGGAGGCCTGTCCTCTGGGCTCCCTCCTTAGTCCCAACATTAGGTGGCAGCTGACAGGGTCAGCAGGGACAAAACCATGGCACCCAAGCATAAAGACGGTTCCATCACTGGATGGTGGTTTCAAATCCCTATCAAGGGCCACATCTAATCTTTTGTTGTGATTTCCTACTTGTAATTTGAGGATCAAATATTCTAAGGACCCTAAATTAATACTTGGAAACACTTATCTTCATCTTTCCCCTTCTTGTATCCTCTGCGTGTGTCCTCCCCAAATTTACACCCTGTTTGAATCGGATCAAGAATATTGTCCTCTTGTAATAAGCCACTAGGGAACTTTGAGAGAGCAAGTTTAAAATGTCTCAGATCAGAACAAGGATTTAATTTATTAAGTTATTAACTTCTCTGGTCAGCTCAGCTGTTGCCTTTAAAATCTCTCAGATGATGTCTAGACTGTTTCAAAACCCCTTCATTATTGCTCTCACCAAAATGCTATGAAGTGTCTGTCAATCTTTTCTTCATTACTGCCCCTCCCCTCGTTAATGAGTCTTTTTAGACATGTTTCCATATATACTCTCTATGAATGGTTAATACTACAGATATACTGTATATCTGTTTATATGCACTGGTCCTTTGGAAGACCACAAACTGCTGTAATATATAAAACTTTTTTTCACCACCAAAGATCCAATTACATTCCCTTGGGGCAATATTATTATTATTATTATTATTATTTTCTGAGAAGGTGTGTCTATAACACTTAAGATAAGCTGCCTTTTGAAAATTCCCCAATCTAAGATCCCATTATGTGTTAATTACTTTTACTCTGTATACAACATTTTACTTTTAATCCAACTATCTTCCCCCCTTTCCTAGCCTTCTTTATAAATGAGATTGACAGTGAGGAAAGTATTGAGCAGTCTGAACTAATCAAAATGTGTGTGTGTCTACTGTAATTACACAACAGTTCTAGTTCAAATATGAAGGAATAAATCCAGACAAGTTTTCAAATTTTAATAAATTAAAACATTAGCACTTTTCTTATAGACTAGTTAGATGTACAGAGTTTTAACAACAACAAAAACAAAGAGATATGAGCTGTGAGACTTGGTTTTAAAAGTCAGAATCTTGGGTTAATGGGCAGCGGTTACATATTTTTCATTTTCTGTCCTTGACTTCTTGTAACTGATACTTGGGAAGTTAAGGATTGCAAAATTATGGCTATGAAGTCATGCAAATTATAAATGGCATTTTACTCTATGCAGCTGAAAGGGCACATGAAGTGCAAACATTAACAAATCTAAAAACTCAATGAGTAGAAGAGTGTCCCTGGTGGAAATATTAATGAGTGAAACAAAACTATAAACATTTAGTCTTGAGCCTAAACTTTTTAAAATTTTTATTTAAAAAATGTGTTAAGATGAAGGCTATCAAAAATGCACTGGTAGCATATTTTACATAAAATACTATAATAAGGTAACTAAAATATTGGATGACCTTCTGTCTAAAGGTGACTCTGTGGTTTCCCTATATCCTCTCCACTTCAGATGACTTCAACACACTGAAATCCACAGTCTCCTTGCCATCAGAAAATATAGCAAAGTTTTTGTTCGCTTGTTTCAAAGCTAAGAAGCTTTTTAGTGACATCCAAACTAAGGGCATGCCAAGAGAGAAACTGATAATCAGAAGGCTAATATGAATTTACCAGCAGTCAAATGCTGCCAGCTCAAAGAGTGAAGCCTTTAAGAAGAGCTTGGTGAACTCCTCAGGGGATGTGTCAGAACTTTAAGCAGAAGGAAAGATATATCTGATGAAGGGATAACAAAACAAAACAAAAACCCCTCTGGGTTAGTTCAGGTAGGTGGTGGAAGCAGCTGCAAATTATTGGCAACATAAGCTCTAGTTAAGAACTGAGGAATACATTAACTTCAGATCTTGGTGGAGGCCCAGATAGCAAACAAACTCAATTAAAATCACTGGCCTCCAGTGGCCCAGGTGTCTTCCCTAAAAGGAAAACAAGCAAGCCTTTTTGGGACTTTGCTTAAGACTTGCCTGTTGAAGGAGCTTTGCTTCTTGCAAACAGTTGGAAAGACCTCTGTGAAAGAAAACTAACAGCAGGAGTCAGGTCCCCCTGGAATACAGATGAAACTCCAAAAAGCATTTTCTCCCAAATTCTGAGTTTCTGAGCCATGCTGAACTCCATTGGGAAAGTCACTCTGGGGATGAACAGGGCAACAGACTGCACACCTGGCCTCTCAAGATAAATAATACATAAATAAACGGTCCCTATGCTCCAGCTACCATTTCCTCTGAAACGAATCATTCCCTCTCCTCCCACTTAAAAAATAAAAATAAATCACCCAGAAAAGGCCACTCTTGAGTCCGTCCACCTATCACAAATGCCCCATCTGTTTCAAGTCCAAAAGATTAAGAACCTGAGCATGGGGAAGCGCAGCCTGTGACTTTTTCCAGCTCCGAGGTCCTGCTATCAGTGGACGGATGGAACCGAAATGACTTCTCTGGGGTCCGGGAGATGAGTCACCGGCGCTCTCCAGTTCTCTCCCGCACACCGCCTTCTACACCCACAGTCCCATTCCCAGGAAGGGGCTCTCAGGGATGGAGGCAAGCACCACACCTCTCTTCCTCTTCTGCACCCCCTCCCACACACACGCCACTAAGGTTCGTACGAAAGAAACCGAAGGGGCGGGGGGTGGGGGGAACCACAGTGATGACAACCAAAAAAAGTAATTATTTAATTCAAAAAAATAAAATAAAATAACATCCGAGTCTCTTACCATCTCGCCTGAGGTTGGCGTTACGCAAAGCTTTGATAGATGCGCTCTGCGGCGTGGCAGAACTGTCCCGGTAGCTGCAAAAGTTTGCGCAGACTAGCGTGTAGACAAGGATGAGCCGGTGCATTGGGATCAGAGACCCGGGGACAGCGTCGCTCCAAGAAAAAGCCGGGACAGGCTCCCGGGACGCGCGCCCGCGCTCGCTGGCCCTGGCCTCCGCGCTAGTCGCCGAGCTCGCCGCAAACTTCCTGCATGCCGCGCTCTCCGCGCGGGGGGCGGCCGCACTTCCTCGTGGCGCGGAGAGTTGATCAATGGTGACGGGACAAACAACAGGTTGACGTTTGTTCGCCCCCTCCGGTGGCCGACAGCTGCAGCACAGGCGCCCGGGCGCCGAGCGGAGCAGCAGCGGCCCCCGCCCGGCGGCGGCGCCCCGGGCTGCGCGCACTCGGGCTCCCCGCCGCGGCGCGCCAGGCTCCCGGGCCGAGCCCAGCGCCGCCGCCGGGCCAGGCCGGACGACCCGGGACGCGACTCCCCCACCGCGCGGGGCTCAGCCCTAGACTGCAGACCAGACAGGCGAGGGGAGCCAGGGAGCGGGGGGCTGGGAGGAAATGCGAGAGGGCGGAATCCCCAAACTTCTCCGGAGGTGACGGGCTGATCCACCCCAAGACGTGGCTGCTGCCTAGTGATGGGGTTGGGGAGGGGGGGAATTTGAGGAGAAGGGCTGCAGTTCGAAAGTTGTCCTTTACAATAACCAAGATCAGATTCTGTTCAGTCAAGATTTTGCTAAGTGGAAAAAAAAAAAAAGGAACAACTCAATAGCAAGGAGCTTGATTTTGATCTTTACTTTGAACCCCAGTGAGGTGAAAGTCACTCAGTCGTATCCAACTCTTTACGACGCCATGGACCATATACTCCGTGCCCAACCCAGGGATCGAACCTAGGTCTCCAGCATTGCAGGTGGATTCTTTACCAACTGAGCCACAGGGGAGCCCTTGAACTCCAGTGGGTGTGGCCTTCGCCAAAGCGAAGTTGCTCAGTCGTGTCCGACTCTTTGCAACCCCATGGACTGTAGCCCACCAGGCTCCTCCATCCATGGAATTTTCCAGGCAAGAATACTGGAGTGGGTTGCCATTTCCTTCTCCAGGGGTTCTTCCTGACCCAGGGATTGAAGCCAGGTCTCCCGCATTTCAGGCAGACGCTTTACCGTCTGAGCCACCTCAAGGTTAATTTCTCAGAATAACAACACATCGTGTGCTGGGTGTTAGGGTTGCATGCGATGAAGTGTCACAGTAAATTGTCAGGGGTGTTTGCATGTGTCCCACCGCCCTCCTCCTGCACTCTAGAAAGATCTAGAAATTGGGTGGGGTTGGGCCAGCTGAGACTGGCAAAGTGAAGAAGTTGAGGGGGCATTGTTTTCATGGGCCACAAAGAGAGGCAGGGTCATCCAGGCCTTGAGGCCTCCCTACTCTGAGTATGCGGAAGCGCAGAGGTGCAGAGCAAATGCCCGTGGATTCCAGGAACGTCTAAATCATGTCTATAGCCCCCAGGGGTAGGGGACTATATTTGGAAAAGGAACAGCGAGTCAAGACTCGGCTGGTCACTAGGTTTGTCACCTTAAGTCATTTGAGCTCTTGAGCCTCAGTTTCTTTACTTAAAAAAAAATTACAAAAGGAGAGTAGTCATTCAAGTTTGCATGGTTGTGGTGATAGTTATATGAAAGAACTTTAGTATTTTGCTTTGTTGTAACTGAATCCAAATCCAAATTTATTTAATTTCTTAGCTGCTCAAGGATGAGATCTAGAAGAGACATTTTCCATTCTCTTTCAGGCCTCTCAGCTCCTGGAAGTCGGGGGTGTGAGGATATCTCTATATATGATATTCATGTATAGAGAGAGCCAGAAGCACTAAGAAGCCTAGGAAGTTCAGGAAAATTAAACTCGAGATTATACCATCCAAGCCTGAGTAGAATATATGTGTTCTTTCTACATACTCAGAAATTAATGTGGGTTCATCTCTTGGCATTTTTGTCTAAACAGTGTTACAAACTGTGGGTTAGTGCATTGTGAAATAAAATTCAAGACCAGCATTATTTTTTTTAATTGACTTTTTTGTTTTTAAGAGCAATTTTAGGTTCACAGCAAAATTGAGAGGATGATACAGAGATTTGCCCTGTGCCACCGCAGAAGCATAGCCTCCCAGACTAGCATATCTACCCACCAGAAAGGGACAGTTGCTACAGTTGATGAACTTGGTACACTCTTGGTTGCATATGGTACACATAAAGGTTACATCATGGTTCACATTTGGTGTTGCACATTCTGTGGGTTTGGCCAAATACATCATGGAATATTTGCCATTAAATATTGTGTATTTGCCAATATTCATACCACATCCATCATTATGGTATCATACAAAGTATTTTCACTGCTCTGAAAATCCTCCGCTACAGCATTATTTTTTTAATAAATAGAATGGCATACAATAGCTTAGAAATTTAATTATCAGGGTTCATTAGAGACAATAATGTTGCATTGTTTAATGACTGTGTTGCTTTATAGGTACACAAACATATAGGGATATAAAAGGTGTTTCTGTGGCACATGATCAAAAATTTGTATTCAATAAGTCACTGGGAAAAGAGGTCTCAAAATATAAACAATCCCTGGAAGAGGGACCAAGAAGGGACTTAAAACCTAGGCTGGCATTCAGTCATTTATTCACCCAGCAAGTTTTATTTAAGCATTAGTTATTCCCTTTTTCCATGCTCTAGTCTAAAAACTCTTGGGATAAAATAGTGAACATGAGAGAGAAAATGTCTGCTTTCTTTGAGCATAAATTCAAATGGATGATAGATCATAAACAGGCACATATATGTATTAATAAGAGAAGAGGATTGGAGACTGATGGGCTGGGGGTAATTAAAATATATGATGCTACTTTTAAAATGTGGTTGGAAATACTCATTAAATTTCACCCGTAGCTCCTGACATAAGAATATAGGAAACATGAGAAAATGTACAAGTGGTTTATGTTTTTATGACTAAGTATAAAAATAGTAAAGAGGTTTACTTATCTAAATATCTTATATGAAACATTGAATTTAAAATATTCAAAGTAGTTTTGTCCAAGATACTAAATCTGTGCTGTCTCAGTCAGTTCAGTTGCTCAGTCGTGTCTGACTCTTTGCGACCCCCTGGACTGCATCATGCCAGGCCTCCCTGTCCATCACCAACTCCCGGAGTTTACTCAAATTCATGTCCATCAAGTCGGTGATGCCGTCCAGCCATCTCATTCTCTGTCACCCCCTTTTCCTCCTGCCTTCAATCTTTCCCAGCATCGGGGTCTTTTCCAATGAGTCAACTCTTCACATGAGGTGGCCAAAGTATTGGAATTTCAGCTGGGGATGTAGCTCAGTGGTAGAGCACATGCTTTGCATGTATGAGGCCCCGGGTTCGATCCTCGGCATCTCCAGAACAAGTGCTGTCTCATGGCATTATTAATTCATAATGTCAGATAATTACCTGAGAATAGTAAAGGGTGTCACACATGATAAATATATTCTTCATTTCTAATGTCGATAAATACCCCCAATCAACTACAAAACCAAAAATTAGGCACCAGAGACTAACCAATTAGTTTGAATCTGGTTTTCAGTATTACCTAACAATTAATTCTTCCTTGGTGGTCCAGTGGTTGAGAATCTGTTTGCCGATGCAGGGGATGAAGGTTCAATCCCTGATCAGGGAACAAAGATCACAAGTGGCCCTGGGCATCTAGACCCAAAAACCACAACTGCTGAGCCCTTGTGTTGTGGAACTGGCATGGGTGTGCACCACAGCTAGAGAGAAGCCTGCAAGCTGCAACAGTAACAAAAAGATCCTGCCAGTCACAACTAAGACCCAAGGCAACCAAAAACGAATGATTTAAAAAAAAATCCTTATAAATTATGTTGATTATATCAACTAAGGTATCACTATACACAGAATAGAACTTAATAAAAATATATTGAGAGAATGGAAAAGGTCTGTTATCAAGATAAAATTGTACCAACTTATTTCATACATGTATCCTAAACTAACATCAAAATATTGAATGTCACCACATTTCAGATGTCTATGTGTCAATTAGAAGAATGAGGCCCCTCAATGTAAACAGATTTATAAAATTTATTCCTATAGTGTTTATAATAATGTAAATAATCTATTTTATGTTTGACTTTTGATGGCATTTAAGTATAAAAGAAACCTATGTTATCTAGAAAAAAAATCTTTCCAAATGAAGGCAACTAATAATGTTATTGTTTTAGTTACTAAGTCGTGTCTGATTCATTGTGATCCCATGGACTGTAGCCCACCAGGCTCCTCTGTCCATGGAGTTTCCCAGACAAGAAACCCACAACTGGAGTGGGTTGCCATTTCCTTCTCCAGGGCATCTTCACAACTCAGGGATTGAACCTGTGTCTTCTGCATTGGCTCAGCGGAGCCACCAGGAAAGTCCAACTAGTGATAGGTAAATGTATTTACCTTTTACTATAAAGTGACATTTATCTCAAATATTCTGGAAGATGATTTCATAAAAGGGTAGGTTAGAATATGACACTATTTTTAACATCTACTCTTCCTTTGATTAACAGACACAAGAATGGTGTTTCCTATTACATTTTCAAATGCGCTTGGCTTCTTTCACTAACTCATAAAAAACCATGGTGGAAAAGTTATGAAAAGTGGTATGACCTTTCAGAAGCCTTTCATTTCAAGTGAATCACGCCAGTGGTGCCTTTAAAAACGAAACATCTACCGACTTTAGATAAAACCTAATTTATTCAAAGAGCACATCCTTTTGTTATTTATCTTCTATTCACTAGATCTCAGACAAAGTGAAATAGTTCTACATAACATCCTAATTTCTCCTCTGCTCCTAGACTATTAAACTTAGTCAATATTGAATTTTATGGGGATTATATCCTTTCCTATGAAATGGGAGTATTATACTAGGTTATTAAAAATATCTTTCAGAAATCTGAATGTTTTATTTTTAAAAATTTGCATTCACTTATAAATTTTCACCAAGTGGTATATATATGTAGCTCTGTCAAGCTCAAATGAATTTTATTAGTTGTAGAAAATT